AATTTAATTTTAAGTAAAAAATATTTAATTTTTTTTGAAACTCTAATGCAAATGCAATCCTAAACGTGGTCCAAGGATGTGTTTGAGACTGTGCTCAAACCACGTTTTTGAAAAATTTTGATTTTTTTATTATTTTAATGTGTAATGTCAAATTTTTTAAAAATTAAAAATATATTATTTTAATATATTTTCAAGTAAAAAATATTTTAAAAAAATATTCATCAAACTTTCAATTAAACCCATGATAGAATAGTTTCTAATTAAGTGACTATTTAATAGTGCCTAAAATTTCTATTTTTTGATGCATTTTAAAAGTATCTTTTACTTGAAAAAATATAAAATTTATATATTTTTTATTGTTTTCAATTATCTTGATATATTGATACTAACAATGAAAATATTATTTTTATATATAATTGAGTATACTTTTAAAGTGATTTGGATGTGCTGATGTTAAAAATAAAAATAATAAAAAAATTATTTTAATATATTTTTTAAATAAAAAATATTTTTAAAAAATATTATGCTCCAAATACTTTTAAAAATGATTTTCCCCCAAAATACATTACACAATAACAATTAAAAATTATTAATTTATTTTTTTAAAAGAAAACTATAAAAAATCACAGCTACAACTTATTTTGGTAACGGTAATGGTATGCCTAAAAGGCGAACACGAAAGACTTATTCTTGAAATATAAAATTGTTAAAATCATAAAAACGACATTAATTTAGACAAATAATTTTAAATAAGGTTATATTTTTATTTTTATGCCCTTTTTGAGTTCTGTTGTTCTTTTAATTTTATTCGGATAATTTGAAGGTAGGGGTAAAGGCTAGAGGGTGGCTGCGATGAGTTATAAAATAAATAAAAAGACATGGTAGATCGGACAAAAAAGAGTATTGTGCGATTGAGAAAATATTATGTATCATCTTTATTTTTGGCATAATAATTGTCAGTGCATTTATAATTAAAACTTATGGACTTGAATCCAATGAATTAAAAAAAAATTAGAAAGTGATTAAGTCATATTTAAGAATTTTATTGTCTCGATTAAAACTTTATTTTTTTTAAATAATATTATTTTAATTTATAACCTATGACCTAGAATAGGTTTAATAACTTTGATAATCATAATATATATAAAAAATCTTCGATTCTTCAAAAGTATCTCAGCTTTTTGAAATAGTTAATTCTTCAAAAGTATCTCAGTTTTCTGAAATAGTTAAAGAAAGCTGATATTATGCATCAATGAAAATAGCCCTAAATTTATAAGTTTGGTTTTTTTGCATGACACCGTTGCAGAGCTAGCCATAGCATATGAATATCATGGACAATGATTTAATGCTTTTATTTAATAATTTTTTTTAAAACAAATAAAGTATAACCCCTGACTAGTGGGAATTTTTAAATTGTATTGTCAAACATTTCCTAATAAAAATTTGATTTTGTATATTTGATTTTGTAATTCATGATTTATGTATACTAATCTCATTAATTAGCAAGAGATGATGTGTTAGTCTTCCTTTGTAGCCCCCTGCTCGCCATATATGATGTGTTAGGCTTCCTTTGTAGCCCCCTGCTCTCGCCATATTTTGTCTGAAATAATAATTATTTTTTAAAAAAAATTAATTTATAAATATATTAAAAAATAATTTTTTTTAAAAAAATATTTTTAATATCACCACATCAAAATGATATAAAAATATAAAAATAAAAATATTTTTGTTTTGTATTGTATGTAGATAAAGTCTAGAAATAAATACATTATTAAGATAAACATTTTTCATTCCTCAAGCCTATAGTTTTTTTTTTTAATTTGTTGTTTATTTTATTGTTTTTATTGCTATAATAATTGATTTATCTTGTTGAATTTTAATTGTTATTCTTGACTTTACTTGTAAATAGTAATTGAAAATATAGGATTATTTAATTATTTTATCTCAATTTTACTTTATTATTGCTTGATATGTGTTTGTTTACTTCTATTTTAATTATTAATGATGAATTTCTATGGTTGTTAGTTGAATATATAAAATTAAATATTATTTTTTTGCTCTATTTTTATTGTTAAATTTGCATAGATGCTAGGTTATATATACAATTTTTTAATGAAATCAATTGGTTTGTGGTTATTGTCAACATTTGTAGGTTTGGAAACTTTGGGTAGTCTCTAGTATAGGAGAGATGCTACTGAAGTTTTTTAAATAATCAAATTTAATTATATAATTAATCATATAAATTTTTGTAGATGCATAGAATGAAATTAACAACATGTCGTCAGCAAATATTTGTAGCTAGTTCTTTTAGTAACGATGATGACTTATCCTTAGGTAACGATCAAGAAGAGGCATTTGTGTCCATTTGCAATGCTACCTCCTCCAACGCGTTTCATAGTGTAAAGGCAATTTACCTTTACAGCGGGGTCAATTTACCTGCAAGTACCGGGCACATGGAAAAGACAATCTTTCAATGTAAGCTTGTTTCTGTTTTATGTTTTTTATACTTATAACATAATTTATAAACAATTAATTATTATTTTATTATTTTTATTTATGTTTAGGTTCATAAACATTAAGATCACCCAAGTAATAACATTGGTGTTTAAATCATTGATAGAAATTTTATTATTTCAATAGTCAGCTTTCCAAATATCATATTGGAGATCTCATATCGATGTATGGTTTCGAAGATTACATGTAGTTGTTAACTTTTAATTTCCAGCTTATCTTTAACAAATTATTTTTATAATTTTATATCTCATACTAGTTTTATTTTAAATAAATTACTTCTACAAAACACAACTTCGAGTGGGATAGCGTGCATAACAATGTTGCGACGAGGGCGTGAAAGAATATGCGACATATATGTAACATAAAAAATAATACAATTTTTTTGTTCTAAAATTTAATTTGTCATTATGAAAGTAGGTTGCATGATTTTTGGTATGACACACAAAAAAAGCCAAAAAATATACGAGAGATAATGGTCTAGAAGGTTGAAATGACGTGGTAGTTTAGAGGGATTTCAAACCACCATACATCTTGAGGGATATATGGCCACAATATATTGAACACATGATGTCTGAACAGTTCATACGATGCTTACAGTCTGGTGCCGACAACCAGAACAGACAAATTCATGGTTCGATGACCACACACACCGGTAGCTCCATTTCGTATAGTGCACATGCGAAGTGGATGGTAAGATTAATATAAATAAAATATATCGTTAATTACTTTGTTGTTACTTAGAAATATATTTAACTTGCAACATTTTTTTTCTTACAAGCTATGTCTCTTGGACGTGAATCAAGCCTAATGGAGCTGTTTGCAGAGACGCACATGTGGAGTGAAGATCGCCAAAAGAGGGTGCAATAGTTTGAGGACAACTATGCTCAACACTTTATAGTATGTTCATTCAACCATTTTATTTTGT